ACTGAAAAGAAATAAAAAAAAAAAAACCTTCTCCCTGCTAGTATCTTTGCCATGTTGCCGTTGTTATTTGTAACAAACACATCACTCTCATCGCACACTATGAAATCTAATGCAGCCATTCTTGAAGAAAAAGCAGAAAACTGTTTCAGTTCCTCTGGGCTTGCCAGGATATCTTTAGAATAGAAGTTGGGGAAAAGAGCCTTTAGAGGGGCCAATGTTGCCTCTCCTCCGTATACTTCTCCAGAGGCTACGAATATATGGGTTTCTCGGTCATAACCAAGTGCTCTTAGCAGAAGACCAACTTCCTCTGGAGTAAGTGGGCACCTCCCTTGCCTTCTCTCCCTATCTGGATTAGGAGACTGCAAAATCATATCAACAATAAGTACATGTGTCCTACATATTTCCTAACTGTGTGTGTGTGTGTGTGCACGCGCGTGTTCTCTTCTTCTTTTTATAATGAAAAAAAAAATATTAAAATAAAATAGAAACCGGGTACTGAAAATGTTTTGTCCTACGGGTTGCAGGAGAAGGTTCTAGCGCTCTTAACAAGTTATGACTTTAGCATGGCAAGTGGGACTAGCAATTATATGTATTTAACATCCGTACTACATTCCTAGTTCCACACTGCTGCAAGTCTGCACGCATTTCAACATTTTCTTTACAGTAGGTGAAAAATTTAATTACCAGTATATTTCAAAATATAGCCCAATCTTTTAACATCAGTGCAGACCACAAACCCCACCACCACTGTGATAAATTAATATTAGGCGAAGAAGCCTTCGACAGAAAATGACCACCAATTAACTTTTAATATTGCTTCCGCTTCAGATTTTAAATGTTCTACCCGTGAAGTGTAGAATGACAAGCATTACATGTAAAGTTTTCCATCTCCGTCTTATCTTAGCCAACTCCATTATCTCTTTGTCTCCTCCGCCGTAATAACATCCTGAGAACGCAAGCATATCAGGTTCAAACCTGTAACAATAAACTCAGTCGAGTAAAGCAATTTTTCATCCTCATTAGAGACATTCGAATGTCCCAGTGCAGAAATCACTTTCTGAAGGCTAGAATTTCATTGATTGAAGTCATAAAGAAAACGACAAAAGAAATGTCAACAGAGGAAACTATATCTACTACAAAGTTAAACAAAATTTATAAATCCTGATATCAAGCCTAAAAAATGAAAAACAAACATTTACTACGTACAATTAAATAATAATATCTTTAGTGAAATATCCGTAGAAAAATCTATTCTAGGATCAGAACACTAATGCCAAACCTTAGATGGAGGGCTATGTAATGCTTGCTCTTCGTCCTCATTCTTTGCACCAATTTTGCACCCATTTCAAGGATGGGTTTAGTGAACTTCAAAGCGTGGTAGTTAACTCTACACCTAAGCTTTTGAAGATCCACGCTCAACCTATTTGAAAGTCTATAATCGAATTTGGTCAACTGTACAGCCTGTGGCACAAAAGGTTTTAATCATTACTTGCATTATAAGCTAACAGCTAATATTATAACGATTCCACATTTACATATATGAAACTGATTAACTATATATTCCAGTGGTCACCACCATTATAATAGAACACAACATAGATATTTGCATTGCACCGCAAGAAGCAACGAGACATTCGTTTTATGTTTAAATAAATTGATGCTCTTTTACGCAAACTTCCAAAAAATACCAATAGGGGTACTCAAATAATCTTCCAAGCAACAGCATAAGTGACTAAGCAAGAAATTGGTACTGGAGGCCCCATTACACACTGATACACTATGACCTATAAAATGAAGCAAAAATTTCTTCCAGTTCAAAAAAGTTTGATTTTTTTCATTTCAACCTCTAAAAATTCACCTAGTTAGCAGAATTTTCTCCTTTGAAGATAACTAGCAAGCTAGAGCATTCGAGTCTTCAAGTGTTCTATATGAGGAGTTCAACAGGAATATAATTGACAACAATCAATTCCATTAAGTGAGAAAATCACTTTCCATTCCGGTACATTATAAATCTTATCATCCCAAATTATGGCAGAAATATAAAACATTAGAACCCAAATAACAACCAAAAGATATCACTATAGCAAGTTAGAACAAACTCATGGAAAAAAGTGTCTACTCACTCTCTTCGTCACTCTCATCTACACAGGAACATTTATTGATACCATACGAAGAGAACTGTATTGACTTACACGCTTCTTCGAAAGTACAGGTACTAAACGACTAATATAGCAATGCTCATTGCACTTTCTTGGAACACGCATGGTATACGGATTCCATATCTGCCCCCTTCTTCGTGGGAGCTCTTTTATGATTTTTACGTCTTTCTTCAAATATGATATAAACCAATCAGTGTCGAAGATCTCTGAAAAGTTGCTGCAAGAAAGCAACATTGAGTGACGAGAAAGAAGTTAAAATGAAAACTTACAGAATCTGAACAAAGCTTTTACCTAACATCTTTCCAGAAAGACTTCTGATCCAATTTTGGGACAACAAGGGTGGCATTCAAGATGCGAGCTGCAACAACAGCATCAGTAATCTGCACAACATAACAACATATTTCAGCATCTTCAACTGGAGCCCCAGATTACACTGACCATTGAAATAATGTATAAGGACATTCACATTGAATTTAGACTATACTGCTATTTGCATGCTCGAAGTATGCAAAACAAAGAATAACAAAATTCAGAATGAGTGCAATTTGCAAATTAAGCTCCTAAACTCTAATACAAAACAATGTAACTGAATTTCTAGCTGAAAAATGTCAGGAATCTGTGCTAAATGTTTACACATTTGTGCACTGCATAATTGGAAAACAAAATCTAACTTCAACAAGATCAGTCTACATCCCAGCAGCTCTTTTTGGCTGTATGAAGTATGACTAGGATTATGTCACATCTCTTGATGATTTCAATGAAATAAGTGGAAAAAGAAAACTAAGACTTTCAATAAAAATTGTGTAAATTGCAAAATTAGAACCATAACTACTACTAGCCATCAGCAAAGAAGGATTAAAATATAACAGAGACTGGTAATATTGTCTCCTATCAATTGTTTAACATTTCTCCCACTAAACATTTTATACCATAATTGTTCGAAGAAATCAAGGATAAATGAAAGACAAACCACTGCAGGATAGGTGTACATGTAGGTTTCTGCGCATCAAAATTATTTCAAATCTAAAGATGCCTAAATTCCAATTTAACTGCAACCTTGCTGTGGATTATTTTTAAAAGGGACTGGAAACGAAAAGAAAATAAGAAAAAAAAATTGCATAAAGAAATAGATCAAGATAATAAAATTTCTTCCTAAGCAGTTGACTGACTAAGAACATTAAAATCATTCCTCAAAAGCAAATTGGAGATAATATGAGTAAAGAGAGTAAGTACCCCAGTTCTTTGCTGGTTTAGACCTCCACTGGTTGCAATGGCCAGGTAGCGATTAGGATGTGTTATGGCTGAGGCTTCTGTTGTTCGAAACGCGAGTGCAACAAAAATAGTAAAATGGGGGAAAGAAGAAGGAAAGAAAGAAAGAAAGAACGTAAGAAACATACACAATGTTGAAAAATCTAACAAAACCCACCCTTGCAGCTTCAACAAGAAAACAAAGCACCTATTTATCATTAACAAATAACATTAACATCTTAAATGTGTTTACGCACTCTCGAATGCGCTGCTAGAATTGCTGCACCCGTAATAAAACCCTGCATTTTTCGTGGTCCAAAGATCCCGATGACGTACTCCTCCATTGTTCTAGATCTCAACAAAAAACAAACGTCGCGTTTAGGACAAACATCAAATCCAGAGATTAAGAAACTACAATCAAAACATCGAGGCAAATGAATCAAAAGGACCTAACCGGAACACGAAATAGTGGCACTTCCTTTCGTTCGTCGCCGTCATTATTCATCTACAGCCAAAATATCAGCAGAACCAAATAGTAACACTTGACCTCTACCATTTCCATGGGAGATATAAAGCAGAAGAGAAAAAATCCAAACAGAACGAACCTTTCTGCTCGAAATTACTGGTATCCTGCGACGATGGATGTGATCGCCGTCGATGGGAGGCGGTGCCAGGGAAGAGATAAGAACAAAAAGCAGGAGAATGGCAGCGGAGACAACCGAGATGGCGGGAATAAGGCGGTGGCGGTACTGGTGGCGCCGCCGCGGGTATGCCATTAGCGGCGTTGCTGCGGACGGGGGAATATTTGATGAGACTCGGGGACAATGAAATAATGCAAAAGTCAGTACATTAGGAAGATGGGACGAGGAGCGATCCTTGGAGTTTTACAGTTGGACCATACGGCAGATAAACACAAATGATTTATGATGCTCTGCAAATCAACCAAGGAGACTGTAAATTGGAAAATGTTTTTTTAAGAAAACAATGTTGACTGAATTTGAGGGTTTTAGGGGGATTGTAGGAAGGAGATTCTTTTCTTCATGTGTGAGCTTACAAATGGAATTAAAGAAATATCATTGAAATCATCAATCCCCTTCCATGGCGGTGGCATCTTGATGTTCGGATTTGATGGGAACGAGATAGGAAATTTGTGAGATTCGTTTTGTTTATTTATTTATTTGTTTGTTAGTTACTTCTTGTTTGGGATACTCTCTCTTATTTTTATTATTTTTATTATTTTGTCGTTTTAAAAAATAACATCCTAATTAAAAAAAAAAAATTGTCAATATTAACTCTATCTAATGGATGTTATGAAAAACGATTTTTATTATTTTATCGTTTTGAGAAACAACACGTTAATTAAAAAAAAAAATTCTTGTCAATATTAACTCTATCTAATAGATGTTATGGAAAACGATACACTGTGTATTAGATGGAGGTTAAAAATTAGAAAAATTTATATCTATATTTTTATATCTATATAAAAAAAATTTGATATTTACTTGAAATAGAGGTAGAAATTCCGCCTAAAATTTCAGAATTTTTTTTTTTTGGTCGAAACGATAGAGGATTTATATATAAACGCACAAATGTGCAAAGTTACAGCCACTAGCTGAATAATACAACCGACGACTGAGAAAACTGGGAGGACAGGTCCGAAGACCGCCTAGATCCGAAAACTAGCAATGCTAGAATACTCGGCAACACACTAAATACAAACACACAAAACAACAACAACAAAAAAACAACACAAGACCCCCACAGGGTAATTCCCGAGTGTCGGACCCCCACAGAGTAATGAAAATGACACTCGGGTGCACTGAGGCCAACGGCCCAGACCTAAAACACAACGACAAAACACAAACACAGATACGAACACACTAAACAAGAACAACAAACCAATCTACAACAAAACCAAAGAAGAAAAAAACACAGTTAAATAAAAAAAGCCCTTCCACAGCAAATCAGTCAGCTCGAACCAGCGGAGAACAGTCAATATCAGAGGATAATCCAAGTCCAGGGACGGCTCCCGAAACTGCCACAAGGCCTATACAAGAAGTTGAGCCCGAACACAAACCACACTCCAAAACGACCCGCCTCAACCGGAAGGACAACTAAACACGCACCCACTCTAGCACCTCCCGAGCACGCCTAACACCACTAGCCGAGCGTCGGAGCACCAGATTTCCGCCGTCTAACACCACTAGACAAAACAGGGGACGGCTCGGGCCCTCAGTTCCGACTCCCGTCAGAGCCCCACCCCACCTCTCAACCCACTACCCAGCCAATAGAACCGCAGACCACCGACGTCCGAACCCGACAACCCCGAACGGAGATCTGCCGAAAAACAGGACCGCTCGAGGTGGCCCTCCGGTGGCCCTCCATTCGCGCACAGAATCAGAAATAGTAACAGAAGCGGGAGAAGAAAACGGCATACTCCCCTCCAATCGAGACCGGCGGCCAGTCACCTGCAAGCCGATCGACGACCAAGGGGCGCGCTGCCTCCAATCTCTACCACGCCGGCGAACGAAGGGCAATCCAGACCAACATCACAGGCACGCCGCAGCAACACTGGAGGACCGGGACAACAGAGGAGGGGTGGCGGTTGAGCACGACCACCGGCCGACGCCGCACTGTTGCCGAGGAAGGCCACTCAACTCGACGAGGGTTTGGTTTTTAGGATTTGGGGATTTTTCTCTCTCTATCGCGAGATGGGTAACCCGTTTTTGGTGGTCCCTAAAATTTCATAATTACTAAACTTGGTAATTTTTTTAACAAATTCGAAAAAATTCGGCCAATAGAGCTTTAATTTCGAATTTCAAAAATATTCTAATTTTATTTTAAGGTAATTTTCATTTATTATGGAAACAGATTTATCTATTAATTTTAACATAAATAAAATTTTTTCCTTAATATATATATATATATATATATATAACAACAACAACATTCCATATTCATTAGAATTAATATCATTTAATTTTGTAATTTTGAAATCTGAATTATTGTGTGAATCATTTTTACGTACTCAAGTATAAAAAAATTTGAATTATATATATATATATATATATAATACATATATAAATAATTATTTTATTACATTCATTCAACAAATGGTTTAAAAACTAGGGAAAGTCCAAGTGGTATGAATCAAAGTTTACTCTAAAGCTTAGTACCTGTCCTTTGCGGTCGTAGCTAGTGAAGTGAAAAGGAAATAGGCATGAATCCTGTTAGATCATATCGAAGAATGAGTATTACATCATTTTGGAACCTAAATTATTGTATAAAACTATTTTTATGTAATCAAAGATAAATGAAATTAGAAAAGAAAATAAGTATGAATTCTTCCAGATCATATCAAATAATGATTGTTACATAATGTGATTGATGGGGAAGAGGTGATAAAAAACGTTACACAATTGAGATGAATAAAGAAAAAAAGAAAAAATAAATAAATTAAATGTTTTGTAATCGAATATAACAGTTTTAGGTGGTATGTGAAAACTAATAAAATTGAATGTTGAAAATTTTGGAGTGATAATAAAATTTAATGCATAAAACTAATAAAATTGAATGTTGAAAGTTTTGGAGGTATAATAAAATTTAATGCATGACAATATAATTTAATGCTTTGTTGCTCCTCTTTATATATATATATATAAATTAATATCATTTAACCGCAACATTCCATATATAAAATTAAAAGTATATATTCTCATTAATTTTATTTCATGTTGTTATATACACATATTGAAAACAAATATAAATCATTTAGACATTATTTAGTTCATTTCAGAATGTTATATACACATATTTTACTATAACGTAATTAATCTATATCTTTTATGTAAGTCTAAAATCAACAAAAAAGTATACATATCAAATTATATCATTATATACTTCTAGCTCTACGAGCTATATAATGAACAATTTCATCCACAAGTATCAGTTTTGCTATGAAGTCAACAGTTGGCTCCATAGTGGAGCCAACATTCTATATACAACAAGTAAACCTACTACTGTTGGCTTCATAGCAAAACGTCACAAATATAACATTGTCCTCTCGAATCAAAGCTTATTNTTACATTTAGTTTGTTCCAAACCTCATATTAATGAAGGTGTGCCTACACGCATTGAATCTAAGCTTCCATAAATATTATATTTATATTATTATTGAATTAATAAATATATTTCAAATAAATATTTGTACAATAAATTGATAATGGACATAATTATTCCTATTAATCGATATTAACTAATTGTCTTAAACACGTCAATTACAAAAATAACAAGTTAGAAATCTAAGGTTGCTATTTAATTTATTTTAAAAATAAAATATAAGTATATTCCAAATTTAACAAAAAGTTATAAAATTATGAATTTTAATAATACAAAATATATATATATATATATATATGATATATCATGCATTAAATTTGTTAATATCCTATCAAATTATTTATTTGTTTTCTTTAAATAAAATAAATGATTTGCTTAATTTTTAACAAATCAATATTTGAAATTTTTAGCCCTGCCTGAAGCACGGGTTTCCCGATAAATAATTTAATCTCGCCTTAACGGCCATTCATATTGAAATGTATATTTTTTTTTGTGTTTTAAAATGTTTATAATGTAATTCGTTGAGTTTTAGTTCTTATACTACTTAGCATAAATAGAATTTCGTGTTGTCTAAGCTATAAGAATATAAAATTTAGTTTGTTAAATGTATCAAAATATTTGCATATAATAAAATTGGGTGGTTAATTAAAAAAATTATCTTAATACATATTATATAACGATAATAAAATAATAGTTGAGTATTATGATGAATAAAAATAGGGCAATTTTATTTTGATATAGAATGTCCGAATTTAAATGGTATGAATAGAGGTGTGTTTGGAAATTTGAAAATAAAATAAGTGGTATGAATTTTATTTAGCATGGGTATGAAAGTCGATTTTTAGGTTGATTTGTTATAAAATTAAGGTGATGTGGTTCTCAAATTTTATCATATTTCTATAATAACTTGCCAAAAGATAATGATGACATGAATTCGGCAAATTAGTATGTATTCCTCTTGAAAATTAAAAATTTTTGAATAAATATTTGTTAGTAAAATTTAAAATCTATAATTTAATTATAAATAATTAGTTGATAAATTTGAACGACAATGTAACCGACAACAAATCTAGACAATTTTGAGATTAGTAAAATATAGATATATATAATATATGAGGAGATTATTGTGTAGTCCAAATTTGGGTTCCAAATTTAAAATGCAATAAGTGATTATTCATAACTTATGGGTCAATATTAACTTGGACGTAAATAGAACAGTCAATTATTTATAGTTTAATAAATTACACAATTACTTAAATTTTTTAATTTGGATAGTTTATACAAAAATAAATTTATTTTAATTAATAAAATAATATAAATTTTAATATTATACTTATTATTCACATAGATTTTTAAATATATGATAAAGTTTTATCAACATAATTATTTTATAGAACCACATTGAATAAAAATTTTAAAATGACATTTAATTTGAAATAAATATAATGTAATTTATTATCAATTATGTGCACCGTACGGGTTGTGTATTAATTTTAAATAGACATGTTTTATGTAATTTTGCACAATTTAAATTCATATAACATTTTAAATAAATTAATATAGGTAAATTGTATTATATATTGATTCTATATTTTTAATTACAAATATTAACGAATATCTCTTACCTGTGCATTGCACGGGATTCGTACTAGTATAAACAAAATAGCCAAAACGACATTTATTTAATCAATGATCAATTAAACCAGAGTGAAAAATAATAAAAATAGGAGGGAGTATTACATAAAATAAATTTTAATAAATATTATTTCTCAATTTAAATAGATTGTAAAAAACTGAATGTTATTATGTTATTTAAAATAGTAAATATGAAAGAATAATATATAAAAATAATTTTTCATTTCATATGGTTAGAAAATAATATATTTCTACGTAAATTCTAACTTCAAAATTATATAAATTTAAAATATTTGAAAAATTAATAGACGTGAGACACTGACTCTATAAATATAAAGTATAATCACAATACAGCAAAACTTGTTTTATTTAAAAAACAAATCAGATATATGGAGTTGTAAATAATATTAGTTTTATACATATACAATTTTAAAAATATAATTAAAAATATCATTTTTGACAAATTTAGTGTAAAAATACGAGCACCATTTGAATTAATTATCATTTTGTTAGTTATTTATTATTACTTCATATTCATCATACATAATTTCATAATAAAATTATAAATTATTTAATTTTTTATTGTACAAATATTAATATATTTAAGTACTCGAGTAGTATACGAGTATTGTACTAGTTATTGATTTGATTGAGGAGAGAAAATTCTCTCTCCCTATATCCAAATATTTGTGGCAATTTATTTTTTCAAAAATAATAAAATGGCCATTTAAGTAAAAGAAAGATTTTTTTAAACATGATATGCTTTANATAAAGGAGACCGAAGGTTTAAGAATTAAATTAAAACTCGACGGGGGTAGGAAACCCGATCACATCATGCTGGAGCCAATCTCTCAAACTAGTGGGAGGAAGAGATACCAAATAAAATTCAATCGAACAAAGGGACACCAAACTCGCCAAGTGGTCGGCCGCAAAATTTGCCTCACGTGTCACATCTTTGCCATTTTAAATTTTTAACAGTTAATACAGAAAGGAGCATTTATTGTAGTAACACGGAGAAAAAAGGGGAGAGCTTCGAATTATATTTCTCGACTAATTTACCTCACTTCGAAATGTCGTCTTTAACATTGAAACTTTCTTCCTTTCTCTCATCTTCATCATCCCAATCTTTCCCTTCGTCTTCTTCTTCCTCGCCTTCTTTTACGCCGTCATATGCTCAGCCTCCCCCTTTCCTCCGGTTTCCGAGAAAGCTCTCTAACTACATAGGAAAATTCACAGTCGTCAGAGCGGCTGAAAGTGACAAGAATAGTTCGCCTAATGCCGGCGATTCAAAACCTCCCAACGGGACTTCGGTTAATCTAGCTTATTCTTACTCAGATTTTTCGTGGGAAGAGGATAAAGAACATTTTTTTCTTTATTATTTATTTATTTATTTATTTTACTTGTTGTGCAGCCTAAGAGCAGGAGGGAGATTCTGCTGGAGTACGTGCAGAATGTGAAGCCTGAATTCATGGAGTTGTTTGTCAGAAGGGCGCCTCAGCAGGTACTGGGCATATGGCTTTGTTTAATATGTTTCCGCAAGTGTTTGGGAAATCTGTATGTGAGTTTTAGACTTTTAGTGATTTATGACTCAGTTATATACTTAAAGGGTGTCCATTTGTTTGGTCATTCTTTAACTTGTGATAAAATTTGAGCAGTTTAATATTGGGTTTAAAGAATGCTTGTGCTGAATGCTTTTTTCCCCCTAATATTGTGATGTTCTTACTCTAGGTAGTCGATGCTATGCGCCAAACAGTGACAAATATGATTGGAACTCTGCCTCCACAATTTTTCGCACTTACAGTTACCACTGTAAGTGTTTTATCACCATCTAAATTTGACAGTGTTTCCAAGGTAGCAATTTATGAGCTGGAAGTAGGCCTTTGGAGTGCCATATAACATTGTCATTCATTTCTATGTTCCAGGTTGCTGAAAATTTGGCCCAGCTAATGTACAGTGTTTTGATGACTGGGTACATGTTTAGAAATGCTCAGTATCGGTTGGAATTGCAACAGAGCTTGGAACAAGTTTCTCTTCCTGAAACCAAAGAGGTGAAGGTGAGATTCTTTTCCTCACAATTTCCGCAATCGGTTATTTTCTGTTAGTTTCGAATCTTGTTGAGAAAGAGAATAGCTAATGAAATGTGGAGATGAAAAATGACTCCGAGTACTTTTAATATTTACCATGTAAGTGCATCACCTTGAGAGTTATCCTGCCATAGATTTTGGTAGTGGTAAAGAAAATCTCAAATTAGTTGCATGCACCAGCAAATTATGCAACATAGATTTTAATCTCAACAAAAGTATCCTTGGTCACTGTGATGTTGATGATCTTCACGATGGATATTAAAATTCAGTGGATGATGATATTAAGGAAACTGGTAATGTCATTGCAAGGGTTTCTGTTTATCCTCCATGGATCTATGGAAAGGTTAAGCATAAGAAACAAAATTTTCACTCGCAAAAATTATTGGTTAGGTTCTAATGTAACTCCTTATATATCAGGTATAACCGTATAACCTGGTAAACAAATTTATATTCCTGTGAACTAGATGTTATCTGGAGGACCCTTACAGCGCTGCATTCTGATATTCTTGCATGACCTGTGGCAAATATCTGTCTCAATTGCCTTAAATGATCAGACTACTTTTCGTATGATCAATTAGTGAGTTGCATTCTTAGTTGTTTTATATTCCTCACAATCATATACCTCCATTGACCCTTGCGTAGTAGAACACTTGAGTTTGAGCTGTGGTTTTTCTGACTTACACTTTCGGTGGCATAGGATGTGCCAGATTATGCCCCAGGCACTCAGAAAAAAGTGTCAGGTGAAGTTATTAGGTGGAACAACGTCTCGGGTCCCGAGGCAATTGATGCTGTGAAATACATTGAGCTACTCGAAGCAGAAATTGAGGAACTAAATCGCCAGGTTGTGAGAAAATCTTCGAACGGACAGAATGAACTGCTGGACTATCTCAAAACTCTTGAGCCTCAAAATCTCAAGGTAAGAAGAAATCTGACAAGCAGCTTGGTTTGTGGTCCCAGCTAAAACATTCTTTTTCCTGATTATGATAGAAACAGAACAAACATGTATATATAAATACGTTGACCAAATAAACTGCAGGAAGGGTAGGAAGGTGCATGTCGGTATTAATTACATTTAGCTAGTTATGAATACTGAACAATTTGAATATAGGTAGTGAAATTGGGTTTGGCGTGACTTTGCATTCCGTTATATGTCAGTGTTACCAAGACTAAATTGATAGTGCCCACTTCATTATTTCAATTTAATAGCATTATTGTGCAAAAATTCTTATTCTGAATTGATTTCTTTGTGTGACTTAGGAGCTAACAAGTAGCGCCGGGGAGGATGTTGTGGTGGCAATGAACACATTCATAAAACGCCTATTGGCGGTTTCCGATCCTAGCCAGATGAAGGTAAGCACTGACTAGCTCTGTCGTTAAATTGGAGCTTTAAATTCGCATTCGTCCTGGATAATGGTATACTAATGTTTTCATTATATGTGTGTGTGTGTTTAACTTGTATTCCTACAACAGTATTGCTGTGACCTTTTTATGGGATTTTCTTTGGCATCTTCATCTTTGCAAAAAAAATTTATTTTATGTCCTTAAAACATTTTTTCAGACAAACAAGCTCCTCTACTATGCTATTTCATCAGTTCACCTCATAGTTGTTAGGGACGGGGAGCGCACTGAAAACCACTCATGTAACTCTCAAATGTGGAATTAAGGGTAGGAATGTCATTCTTATTTTTCTGATGGGTACTCGATTGAAGCATAATTGCAGGTTTTGTCTAAGAAGGATTTAGGAGGCAAAACCAAAATTAAAAATCTCCCTTTACATTGTAGAGAAATGATTTGGTAGCCATAAAAAGCTTAATTGTAGGTTGAGAGTTGACTTATCTGTTGTCCTATAGTTCAATAATGTCATTGCTGGCCATAAGTTGAAACTCGATGCTTGATACCGGTCAACTTCGTGTTTTGAAGAAAGTCTTTTGCACTGCAATTCAGGCTTCATTGTCATGTCCAATTTTAACTAGGCATTTTCTCTACAATATTGTTACTGAGCTTTTCATAATTTGTGTTTTACAGACTAGTGTGACAGAAACAAGTGCTGTGGAACTTGCAAAGCTACTTTATTGGCTTATGGTGGTTGGTTATAGCATCCGAAATATCGAAGTCCGTTTTGACATGGAAAGGGTGCTTGGTGCTCCACCAAAACTTGCCGAGCTTCCCCCAGGAGAAAGCATTTAGGTCGCCATGCCTTGCTAGATTTTCAAATTTGGAATTTGAAGTAGGAATATACTGTACTATACCCATTGTTGCGGCTGAGTAGCAATTAAATTCTATTTTGTAATTGAATTGTTAAACTCAGAAAACAAACTGAAGCTGATTAATTTGTTTAGGTTACCTTCAACTGTTGGCCATATCCGCATTTCTTGAATTTGTTTTGCTCTTATACAGATTAGTTATTAGTTACACTTGAAAATGCTTCTCATGTCTAATTGCGACATTTATGAGCATGCCTATAAAAAGATGGTGGCGACTTCCCATTTTCCAAAATTTGCATGTTTTTAACCAGGTCTACGGTTTATTAGAAGGTAGTGAAAATAACTCGAATGTGGTCCATGTAATGTTCTGTTTCAAGTAGTTTCAACTGAGATGAATTTTGATGGGACATGCAAAAATGAAAATGTTTATATTACAAATCGCCAATGTTTAATACTCTTAATTGTTGAAATTCACCCGTATATTGACACACACACACACACAAAATGTGTGTGAAAATGGAAAAATGAACTCTAAATAATTCTTAATAATAATCGATTACATATATAAATATAATAGTTGACACTGATGTTATTAATAACTTCGTCTTGTGACATTTTTTTTTTCTGCTATCGCTTACAGTTTTCAAATGCTAGTATTTGCTGGCAACTGAGCACTCACAAAAACGGCATCAACTAACAGCCTCTTTTCCAACAGAGGAGACACTTTTAATCACTCAATAGTGCGCTCCAGAATAACCAAATATGATGAAATTCATGCATGCTTATTAATTAAAACTGTTTAGCACACTTAAATTATTGAAAACGGGAATAAATATGCTAGGAATTTATCCACCTGCCCCGACTGGCAAAATTACCGAGTAAATCTTCATGTTTTTTTATCTTATAATTCGTGTGCTCTACACAAAGTTGGATAATTGCCCTAAGTTCACCTACACTCGACTTGTGAAACTTCGTTGAACGCCGTGATAAAATTTTCAAGAATTATACCTACAAATTTAGGTCTTATCTCATAATACCGAACTGCATTTGTCAAACTATTTCAAGAATTATGCCTACCAAATTTAGGTCTTATCTCATAATACCAAATTGCATTTGTCATGCTATTAGAGGTCGCGCTCCGGTGAGAATGGTATTCATTGAAAGAAATAATAATATATCTTAGCCATTATATTGGATGATCCAATGGCTAAAAAAATAAAAATTATACCTTTATAACTATAAATTTTATGAAAAACATAAAACTTTTGTACATCTTTATTTTATTTCGATCAAACGATTTTGCGAGTACAATCATTATATGTTTATATGTCTCTTATGATTCTTCTCTTCTTGAATTTGTGTTCGGATCTTCAAATATGGATTTAGACTTGCATAACGTTGAGTCGAGGGCTTGATAGCTTTTTCTCGGATCAAACATCATATTGCTTAACTTCTCAATGAACACGGTTTGAATGTTGGTTGAACGCCATTGATATTCTTGAAATGATATGAGACGAGTGGATGTCGTCTCTTTACGTCTCGGAGAAGAGCTGCCGCCTCTTTTTCTTCTTCTTGGCTTTTTTCTTCATTGAACGAACTTCGGCGATTCGAATGCTTGGCTACGGGTTGAACGTCGATTTTCAACTTTGAATGCATTGGATCTTCAAGAATGTCTTCAAATCTTGAAATTATACATTTTTTATACATTTTTATAAATTATATATTTGGCCAATGGACTAAATTGAAATATAATCAAAATTCTTGAAATTGTAATTAGATCTTTTGAAATTATCTAATTAAAAAAAAAAAACATTACCCACTAATGTTTTAAATTGCTCGCTTTCGGTCCAAATGTTAAACAAACTGTTAAAACTAACGGCCGCTGCCTTTCGCCAACCGCTGTCGTCGCCTCCGGTGGTGGATTTCAACAAATCATATACCATTTTAAAGATCTTGACTCGATCTATCCAACGTCACCTTTATTTCATCATATGATACCTTGAAGTTTTCTAAATTGCTGTTAAAAGTCCCAATGTTTTCAAACAAAATACGTATTTAAGTTTGCCCGAGTGCTACTGAGTTTGACCATCCGTTTTTCACGACAAATATAAATATGGAAACATCATTTCATGAGGATTCCGATGGTGTAGCCTGATCATCAATCGAGCCTCTCGATCGGTGGTGATAAGCCGTTGAAGTTTCCAATACCAGTCGCCACAACTCACCGGAAAGCTGGACAATTTTTTTTGGCTTATCTCCAATGATCTAGAAACTCGATTGATCATCGAAATATACCGTTGAGTTCCTGAAAACATTGGTTTCCATACTTATATTATTCATAAAAAATTCAACGGTGAGATCTTCACTAACACTCAGTCGAACTTTAAGGCGTACGTATTTTGGCCAAAAATATTTGAACCTTTAATAATGATTTTGACGAATTTTGAGGTACCATATGATTAAATAAAAGATATCGTTGGATAGGCCAAGTCGAGGGCTTCCAAATAACATATGATTTGTTGAAATCCACCATCGGAGAGGGTGGCGGCAGAAGGTGGCAGTTAATTTTAACAGTTTTTTAACGTTTAGACAAAAACCAATTAAATTTAAAACTTAAGTAACCAAAACTGATTAAGTTGGAACCTCGAATACCAAAAACAAAAATATAATATATTTGAGGAACCAAAAAAGACATTTTCCCTTCATCTTTCAGTGAGTAGAAGTGTTTCATCATAGATAAAACGACATCAAAAAAAAAAAAAAAATAAATATATAACCAAAAGTGACATTTTCCCTTCATCTTTCAGTGAATAGAAGTGTTTCATCATAGATAATACGACATAAAAAAAAAAAGACACTCATCTTATATAAACTTTTATGTGCTATAACATATATTGGGATAAAAATTTAGGAGCACGCTAAAATTCCATTACGGGATGATTCCGTTATTCTTTTTAGTTGTAGATACACATAAAGATCAGTGATGTGTATATAATCTACGTTTAAAAATAACAACGAAACCATCTCATAACGAGAAAACTCTATAACGTAATCTTGGATTTTGGTGAAAAAAATAGTTAGTATTGTGATAAAACAGTCAAATTGTTATGTTATTAGTATTATACTATGTATTATTATTACGCTGTTTAAACAAAATTCAATATTTACCAACATATACATATGCAATTTAAATGTTGAATTCAGCCGTCTTCTCCCAATTATACTTATCATTATTTTCTAGCATAGTAAATTAAATATTCCACACTTAAATCTCTTTCATCTCAATATATTTCTTTTCCAGCTACCCAGAAACCCCACTATCCTCTTTCCTTGCATTTGTTTTTCCCATTCATTTTTTTCTCTTTATTCTTTATGGAAACAATGATTCAACCATGGGTAGGTTGGTGTCGTTTGTTAGAACTGAAGCAATAGTTAGGTGAGCCACTTTCTAAGACCTATTTATGTTGTCCGTATGAATCTCAAAGAGCAAGAGCATTATTAATTCCACATTCAATTGGATAAAAAGTTCTTATTCCTAGTGGGGTTATGTATATATATATATATATATATATATATATATATATATATATATATGCATGTATGCATGATCTTAATTGCAAATGCACAAACCTTCCTAACTTCATCAATTGCCAATCCAAGAAAGATTAAACACACCAAATAAATATTTTTCAAAGTGAACAAAAAGCCAACCCTTCTTCCTAACAACAATGAAAATGGAGTTTGAAATAATCTCAAAAGAGAACATCAAACCCTCAACCCCAACTCCACATGTCTTGAAAACCCACAAGCTCTCCTTACTAGACCAAATCGTCCCCCCAATTTACATCCCACTCGTTTTATACTATCCGAACCCGGAAATCACGCCCAAACCCGACTCCATTTCCCGAACCACACAAACATTAAAAAAATCACTCTCGTCAACTTTAATTCACTTTTACTCCTTGGCTGGACGAGTCAAGGACAAGCTATCCATTGACTGCAATGACGAGGGTGTCCCTTTCACGGTCGCAAAATTCCAAACGACCCTATCCGAGTTCCTTAAGAAACCCAACCCACTGGCCACCCGGGCCCACATCCCCAGCCAGCTCACTTGGGCCGAGCCCGGGCCCGGATCCAACGTGGCCATGGTCCAGCTGAACTTCTTCATCTGCGGCGGCGTAGCCATCGGCGCACTTTTCCTTCACAAAGTCATGGATGGGGCCACGGTGGGCCAGTTCATGAAGTCGTGGGCCGCGAAAGCCCGTGGCCTGGACGAGGGTCTAGGCCCGGATTTCTCGGCCCAGTATCTGTTCCCGCAGAACGCGGGCATGCGGAGGGAGGCCCACTTGTTCTCGGTCATGAGGAGGTATTTCAAGTTCGGGAGCACAGTGATGAGGCGGTACGTGTTTGATGCCACGTCGATTGAGGCCCTACGTGCCCGGCTGGTGGGTAAAGGGGTCGAAATTAGGCGGCCCACGAGAGTCGAGACAGTGTCGGCTTTCGTGTGGAGGTGTTTCATGCTGGCGTGCGCTCGGGTGAATGAGAAAGTCGCCATATCCGAGAATGGTGGTCGGTTGATGTCGCTATTGACGCATAATATCAACATGCGGAGGAAAAACGACCCACCGTTTGGAGACGATAGTTTCGGCAATTTCGTGTGGCTCGTGCCGGCTTCTAGCGACAATAACGACGAGCACGACAGGTGTGGGATTATTATGAACACAATCTGAAGTTTAGGGCATGCTTTGTTTATAATTTAATAGACTCACATTTAATTTATACTCAAAATTGAACTCAGTTTTAACTCAACTTGACTATCCTCAGTATTATTCATATAATTAAATAATACAAACGAATCATTATTACACATCACATCAATTTTAATTCGCTATTTATTCATCCACTCACATAATTTTTACTATCTATTATTTCCAATTTTTACTATCTATTATAATTTTAATCATACGACGTACATTTTTCAAAATTAACTCTAGTTAACAAAAAAAACTCATTTTGAACGGATTATTTGATAAAAAAGCGCGCTAGTGTCTTTGTTCTTGAAATATGATCTAATATGGTGTTAATTTAGAATGAATTATTTGGTGAGTCACTTCACCAAATATCCAACAAATTAATAATATATTTCTTGAAAAGTCCATTTCTCTATATTGATTTTTCTCATGAACATGCAAAATGGTCTCTCTTCAATATCACGAAAATTCATTTCTTTTGCTTTTCCACTCCAGGGACCTGAAAACCTTGTTTCACAAAATA